GGGTGCATATATTCTTTCTAATTGGTATTTCAGGTTTCTTAAGATATATTCCTAGAAGTGAGGTCGCTGGGTCAAATGGCAGTTCCATTTTTAATTTTTTGAGGAAAATCCATACTGTTTTTCATAGTGGCTGTTCCAGTCTGCATTCCAACCAGCAGTGGATGAGGGTTCCCTTTTCTCCACTACCTCAGCAGCACTTGTCCTTTGTTGATTTGTTGATGATAGCCATTCTGACAGGTGTGAGGTGATACCTCATTGTTGTTTTGATTTGCATCTCTCAGATGATTAGTGACTGAGCATTTTTCATCTGTCTCTTGGCCATCTATATATCCATTTTGGCCCTTTGCCTATTTTTGATTCAATTTTTGTCTTTTGTTAAATGGTATGAGTTCCTTAAATATTTTGGAAATTAACTCCTTATCAGATATATCATTGAGAAATATGTTTTCCCATACAGAGGGCTCCCTTTTCATTTTGTTGTTTCTTTTGCTGTGCAGAAACTTTTTATTTTGATGTAGTCCCATTTTTTTATTTTCTCCTTAGTTTCCCTTACCCTAGGAGATGTATTGGCAAACATACTGCTATGTGAGATGTCTGAGATTTTGCTGCCTATGGTTTCTTCTAGGATTTTTATGGTTTCATTACTTAAGTCTTTTATCTATTTTGAGTATGGTATAAGTTGGTGGTCTAATTTCTTATTTTTGCATGTACCTGTCCAATTTTCCCATCACCATTTTTTGAAGAGACTGTCTTTATTCCATTGTATGCTCTTGACTCTTTTGGGTCAATTTCTGGGGTCTCTGTTCTGATCTATATGCCTTTCTTGAGACAGTACTAGGCTATTTTGAATACAGAGGCTTTGTAGTATAACTTGACATCTAGAATTGCAATCCCTCCAATTTTGTTCTTTCTCAGGATTAATGTGGCTATTTGGGGTCTTTTTTGGTTTCATATAAATTTTTGGAATATTTGTTCTAGACCTGTAAAATATGCCATTGGTATTTTAATAGTAATTGCAGTGAACCTATAGATTACTTTAGATAGTATAGACATTTTAATAATGTTCATATTCCAATCCATGAACACTGTATATATACTTTCACTTATTTGTATCTTCCTGAATTTCTTTCTTCAATGTTTTATAGTTTCTGAATACAGGTCTTTTACCTCAAATATATTCCTAGGTACCTTATTTTCCTTGTTGCAGTGGTAAATGGGATTGCTTTCTTGGTTTCTCTTTCTGATAGTTTATTATTGGTATATAGAAATGCCACTTATTTCCTTATTTCTGAATATTAACTTTTTATCTTACTACTTTGCCAAATTCATTAGATCTAGTAGTTTTTTGGTGGAGTCTTTAGGGTTTTCTATGTGCAATATCATGTCATCTGCAAATAATGAGTTTTACTTCCTTCTTTGCAATTTGGATGCTTTTTATTTCTTCTTGTCCGATTTCTGTGGCTAGGACTTCCAGTACTATGTTGAATAAGAGTATGAAAGTTTATATACCTGTCTTTTTCCTGATCTTAAAGGAAATGCTACTAGTTTTTGCCCTCTGAGTATGATGTTGGCTGAGGGTTTGTCATATATGGCCTTTATTACATTGAGGTATGTTCCCTCTATTCCCACTTTGCTGAAAGTTTTTATCATAAATGGGTGCTGGATTGGCTCTCCCTCCTGGGATCATGCCTCAGCCTTTCCCTTCCACCCTCTCCCTTTCTTTCCCCATCTTTCCCCCTTTACCTTCCTCACTCCCTAGTTCATAGGTCCTTCGTTTTCCTCTACATCTTGTTTCCTAAGCCCATTTCTTCTATGAATAACTTCTTCTACCTCTGTGATTTTCCAAATAAATGTTCTCTTATAGCTTGAAAAAAAAAGAGTGCTTCTATTAATATGGTCCTGTGGGTTTGTTTATGTGGTATCATGTTTATTGATTTGTGGATATTTTATCAGCCTTGTATCCCCAGAATAAATCCCACTTTATCATGGTATATGATCTTTTTAATGTATTGCTGGATCAGGTTTGCTAATATTTTCTTGAGGATTTTAACATCTATGTTCATCAGGGATATTGGCTTATAATTTTCTTTCTTTGTTGTGTCTTTATCTGGTTTTGGAATTAGAATCATGCTGGCCTTGTAAAATAAGCATGGGAGTTTTTCCTTCTCTTGAATTTTTCCGAATAGTTTGAAAAGGATAAATGTTAGTTTTTCTTTGAATGTTTGGTGTAATTTACCTGTGAAGTCATCTGGTCCAGGACTTTTATTTGTAGGGAGTTTTTCAATTACTGCTTCAATTTCATGGGTTGTAATCTGCCTATTCAGATTTTCTGATTCTTCTTTGTTTAGTTTTGGAAGATTGTATCTTTCTAGGAATTTATCCATTTTCATCTAGGTTGTCCAATTTGTTGGCATATAGTTGTTCATAATACTTTCTTGCAATTCCTTGTATGTCTTTGGTATCATTTGTTACTTCTCTTTCAATTCTGATTTTATTTGGGCCCTTTATTTATTTGGGACCTGATGAGTCTGGTTAAAGATTTATTAATTTTGTTTATCTTTCCAAAAGACCAGCTCTTGGTTTCATTGATTTTTGTATATTTTACCCTTTGGTCTTTGAGAAGTGTTTTTGTATGTCAAGCATTCTTAATCTTTGGGTTTCCCCCATCCCATACCTTGAATCCCTTATGCTATTCTTTATTCTACTTTTTTTATATTTATGGTATCTTTTTTCCAAGAGTATGCAAATGTTAGTATTCATTGTGTATTTTAGGTGGTATTTTTTTTTAGGTGGTCTCTTTTTTAAGCCAGGTTGTAATTAACATATAGTAAAATCTGTCCTTTTTATGTGTACAGTTCAATGCATTTTGTCATGCTGTTGAGCATCCTTATAATTATTACTCTGAACTCTATATCTGATTAATTGCTTACCCCCATTTCAATGAGCTCTTCTGGAGAATTCTCTTGTTTTTCATTTGGGGCCTCTTTCTTTGTTTCTCCCTTTCTGCTGCATTTTTCTTTTTGTTTCTATGTATTATGTAGATCTGCTATGAATCCCAGTGTTGCCTTATGTAGTAGGTGACCTGTGGGACCAAGTGATGAACTATTCCTGATCACCTGAGCTGGACGTACCGAGAATGTCCCTTGGGCATGTTATGTGGGCCCTCCTTTTGTAGTTAAGTCTTGATTGTTCTTAGCCAGTTTGTGTGTGGGATTGACCCTCAGGCTATCTGACTGTGAGGCTCAACCACCGGACACAGCATGCAAGCTTTTGTGCAGGTGCTGATCACCTGGAGTGGAATGTACCTCAGCAGGGTTTGGTCCTGCTGAGATCTCCCTATGGATATGCTGCTTGTGAAGCTTATTGGATCGTACTCTGTTGTCTGAATCTGGTCACTGGATGTATTGGTTCTGGGCCTCTTCAGAAGGACTCTGGTGCTGGCCAATGTCAGGTGTTGTCTATGACTGGCCCTGGGCAAACTGTTTGGAGCTATCAGTGATCCACAGATTGTGGCTCCCTCTTCTGGGCCTGGATGCATGTGGAAAGACCAAGCTGCCCACCAAGGTCTGCTTTGACTAGCACTGGGACCAGGGACAGATCAGCAGAAATCTCAACACATCCAGACATCAGCCTCTGTCTGCAGTCTGTCTGTTAGGCTCACTTAAAGATCCTCTAGTTGTACTCTTCACCAGGGTGTAGGCTCAGGGTGGGGTGAGAGGGATTCCAAGGTGGGGCTATTTCTTTCTCCCAGGCTGATGTTCCATGGAGGGGAATGCTCTGAGAAAGACGGCTCTTTCAGTATGGGGGAATGACTTAGCACAGGGATCCCAGCGGCGACCTCTCAGTTCTCTTGCCACCAACTCCAGACCCTCCTCATGCACCTCTAGTCCACTCTGCCCTCCCTCCGCCAGAGCCCAGGGTGAGTGGCTATGAATGAAAACTTTGTGTGTTGGCCCCTTAAGAGTTTGCCTGTGTTTCTAGCTGTCTCTCCCTGGTGGACAAAAACACCACCACTTTTCACAGACAGATGTTGTGTAGGCTCCTTTCCTGGTTCTGGAGCTCTGGGCTGGGGAGACCCACTTGGGGTTTAGACCCCAAACTTCTCAGAGGGACCTTCCCCCAACACAGGCAATATATCCCTCCAAAACTTCAGCTGCTGACTGTGAGTGTCCACCCAGCCCTTTTGTGCTTCCACACCTCCTACCAGTCTCAATGTGGCCTCTTCTGTAAATCCTTGATTTTAAGGTTTCTCTCCAGCTAGTCTTCAGTTGGCTATTCAGGATTATTTTTTCTATACTTTAGTTGTAATTCCAGTTTGGTCCTGGGAAGAGGTGAGTATAACTTTTACCTAATCTGCACCATGTTGGATCCTCCACATCTCTCTTGTTTGATTTATCAGCTTTAAATTATATCTTTTGGCTTCTGGCTCTAAAAGATGAAGAAATTAAGCATATTTTTTCTACTTCTCTCTTCTCCCAAGTTTTATTAATTGCATCACTTGTATATCTCCTAAAGTTATCATATTTATATTTTGCTTTGTAATTATAAGCTTCAGAATTATTTTGGTCTTTGTCTATGAATAAAGATTCAATGCTTCTGGATAATTCTTTCAATGAATCATTTTGCTTTTCCATTCATCTCTTCTTTTTGGTGAAAGTCATACTCTAGGAGTTTATAGAGGAAACACTCATAAGAAAAATACACTGCAAATTACTTCTTTTCTCTTTTGAAATAGCTTATCTTTTAGACCAGTCATTTTCAAAAAGGCTGCGCTTTCAGGAATTAATTGTGAAGCTTTTTCAGGGTATAGCTATTAGTTTTCATTTCTTCTTTCAGACATTCTGGTATGTCCTTAAGGGCAGGAATAGAGGTAAGAGGAGGCTGAAAAGGCTGTGCAGTTTAGAAAAATCTAAAGATGATACTGTTTCAACCATCCTTTGATAATATAATACCATTCTGGTCAAAGGAAGTATATTAGCATGATAATGGAAAACAAGTGTTCAACACTTCATTTTTCTCATCGTCCTATGCACTATGTTTTTTTTTAAAAATGTTGAAGTTATTTTCTTTGTCTTACTGCATAGAAAATCTGTGCATCTGTCACTTTCGTTACATTGAGAACAAACTACTCCTTGTTGATAAGGCTTTCTTCTTAAAGTTGCTCTACAAAAAAAGCAGAAAACATTTGGTTAGAAAATGTCTCAAATTTTATGTTATTTACATAATATAATGAACAATTTTTATTAGTTTATAAAGGTGATTTAATTAAGAAAAAGGATTCAAGGAAGTACTCCAATTGGAAATGCAATCTTTCCTTTCTCTCCCCTCCACAAAAAGTCTCTTTTGAAATGAATTCCGATATCCTTGAAAGAAAATATTGTAATTTAAAAATGAGTGAGTTTTGAAGCTTATTTTATCTTATTTGCAGCAAAGTTTTTCTTTAAAAAAATGGATATTACAGAATGCTTTGTAATTAACTGCTTTCTTGTTGGCACACTTGTATAAGAAGTTGTATTAATTTTCTGAAGAGTTTGAAAAATCCTGAAATGTCTATTGTCTCAAAGACCTAGCTGCATGGATTACTTTGAAGTCTACATGAAAAATACATAAATATATAAACAAGTAAATAAATTTAAATGGAATTTTACCAAGTTGTTTTAACCCACTGTATAGAACAGAGGGGAGAATTGAGAAACTATTACATCAATTCCTCAAAGCTAAGTAAGAAAAAGGGGCCCCAAAGTAGATATGAATTGGGAAGCTTATTTAAAAGATCTAGGATAGAAAAGATAGAAGAGATATGTAGGAAAATATATTTTTCAGTGAGGGGGGTCATTGATACTGATCATTAAATAGAATTGCTTATTTACTCAGTGTGTATTGGAAGCTATAAAAACAAACATTAGGCATATATGTCCCTAGAAGTTTTTTTAGACTCATATCTGGCCATACCTTCAGTATATTGCCACTTATAGGACGTGGGTCCAAGTCCTAGATAAGGACATGTTGCCTGGCTGGCCTATTGGGTAACCTTACCTATGTCCAACCCAAAGTCCATTAGAAGACCATTATTTAAATTTTATAGTAGAACTATATTGTTACGGAAGGAGAACACAATTCTGGTGGTGATGGAAACTTTCATTGCTTACACTAGACCCATTTCTGCCACCACTTTATTCATGAAGGAGGTAATTCAGCTCCATGGTTTGACAATCTAACAATTATAATTTGTAAGCAGATTCTTCTCTTCAAAGTTCTCCATGTATAGACTCACATATCTGTACAATGTCCATAGAACAATGGCAAGAGAAGATCAAACAGATGTTGATCTTTACATTTCATAAAGCCAGAAGAGTTATACCACATACAATAACCACTTTCACTTTCACTCTTCCATATATCATTGAGAAATATCACAAAGCTGGCTTCTAGTTTACTGGTACACCTGGGCATCTATAGGTTTCCCAAGAAGGTTTAAAGAATCTATCCCAGTAAGCTAGAGAAAAATACAATGCAATAAACAGCAAGGAAGATTATCTTTTAGAGATCCTATTTGGCTCTCCATCTGATACACCTAATGCAGTGGTCGGCAAACTGCGGCTCACGAGCCACATCCGGCTCTTTGGCCCCTTGAGTGTGGCTCTTCCACAAAATACCACGTGCGGGCGCGCACATACAGTGCCACTGAAACTTCGTGGCCCATGCGCAGAAGTCGGTTTTCGACCTGGGCGAGTCTATTTTGAAGAAGTACTGTTGATATTTGGCTCTGTTAACTAATGAGTTTGCCTACCACTGACCTAATGTATTAACTGCCAAAACTCTATGACTACTTCCTAGACTTATTCAAGGTCAAGAAAAGCACAAATCCTGTTGTTTTCTGCCTCAAATTATCCCTTTATGTGCAAAGCTATGTTACTTTGTATCACTTTCTGTAAAACTCAGGTGGTCATATCTCCACTTCCACTGCTTGGAACTAAAGGACTAGGGGCCACAGTTAAACACTGACAAAGCTCCTTTGAGGGTGATATTATTTTGTTGTACCATCCTCTAATCATCCCCAAGATACTATCTTCTTTCTGATCATGCCTCTTTCCTCATTTTAGCACCTGATTCACAATCTCCCTTTCAATCAAAATTGTGCCATTGTCTTAGAATTTGGGACCCAGAAGATTACAATATGCTTATGGATGATTTGCCCAATAACTTGGTCTCTCTGTTACTGTAATTGGCATTTTGTAGCCACACTCTGGATCTTGTTATCCTCTAAAGCTGCTCCACCTCTGAACTCACAAAATCACAAATTACACTCGCTGACTGCAACCTCCTATCCTTCCAGAGTGCTCACTTATTTACTTGTCCATTAATTTCACTGGCACTGCAAGTCTATTTTCTCCCTAGCCACCCTGTTGTCTCTTCTCTATTTAGCTTAGGTCTTTGCATATTCTCATATTTGCACGTTCAGCTAAAAACCTGAAACTCTCTTGCACTATTTTCCTTTATAGACACCTGATTAAACCCAAGCCTTGAAAAGAAAAAAAAAATGAAGGTATCTTACTGTGTGAATGTTCCATATCTGCTTCAGGGCAACTGGGTGCTGCTGGAGCAAAATCATTAAATGAGGTAAGGAATCTTTCTATGGTTCCCTACTCAGATTCCTCTCTCAGTTTCCACAATAACTATTTCAAACCTTCCCAATCTTCTTCTTATTTTTTATTTTTTATTATTGTTTAAAGTATTACAAATAGTAGTACATATGTCTCCTTTTTTCTCCCATTGACCTTCCCCCGTCCTTCCCTACTCCCCCCCACACCTGACACGGCACATGCCCTCACCACCACCCCCAGTATCTTGCGTCCATTAGTTATGCTTATATGCATGCATACATGTCTATCGGTTGATCTCTTACCTCCCCCTCCCCCCAACTCTCCCCAGCCTTCCCGCTGTAATTTGACAGTCTGTCCGATGCTTCTCTGCCTCTGTATTTATCTTTTTGTTCATCAGGTTATAATGTTCTTTATTATCCATAAATGAGTGAGATCATATAGTATTTTTCTTTCACTGACTGGCTTATTTCACATAGCATACTGCTCTCCAGCTCTATCCATGCTGCTGCAAATGGTAAGAATTCCGTCTTTTTTTATAGCAGTGTAGTATTCCATTGTGTAGATGTACCATCGTTTTCTAATCCACTCATCTGCTGATGGGCATTTAGGCTGTTTCCAAATCTTAGCTATTGTAAATTGTGCTGCTATGAACATAGGGGTGCATATATACTTTCTGATTGGTATTTCTGGTTTCTTGGGATATATTCCTAGATGTGGGATCACGGGGGTCAAATGGGAGTTTCATTTTTAGTTTTTTGAGGAAACTCCATACTGTTCTCCACAGTGGCTACACCAGTCTGCATTCCCACCAGCAGTGAAGGAGGCTTCCTTTTTCTCTGCATCCTCGCCAGCACTTGTCATTTGAATTTTTTGATGATAGCCATTCTGACAGCTGCGAGGTGGTACCTCATTGTTGTTTTGATTTGCATTTCTTCGATAATTAGTGACTTTGAGCATGTTTTCATATGACTCTTGGCCTTCCTTCTGTCTTCTTCCGAAAATTGTCTATTTAGGTCCTTTGCCCATTTTATGATTGGATTGTTTATCTTCCTTTTGTTAAGTTGTATGAGTGCTTTGTAAATGTTCGACATTAAACCCTTATTGGAGATAACATTGGCAAATATGTTCTCCCATGCAGTGGGCTTTCTTGTTGTTTTGTTGATGGTTTCTTTTGCTGTGCAGGAGCTTTTTATTTTGATGTAGTCCCATTTGTTTGTTTTCTCCTTAGTCTCTCTTGCCCTAGGATCTGTATCTCTAAAGATATTGCTACGACATATGTCTGCAATGTTGCTGCCTATGGAGTCTTGAAGGATTTTTATGGTCTCCTGTCTTACATTCAAGTCCTTTAGCCATTTTGAGTTTGTTTTTGTGTATGGTGTAAGTTGGTGATTTAGTTTCATTTTTTTGGCATGTTTCTGACCAAATTTCCCAGCACCATTTATTAAAAAGACTGTTTTGACTCCATTGTACGCTCTTGCCTCCTTTGTCAAATATTAATTGCATATAATGGCTTGGGTCAATTTCTGGGTCCTCTATTCTGTTCCATTGGTCTATATGTCTGTTCTTGTGCCAGTACCAGGCAGTTTTGAGAACTGTGGCTTGGTATTGTGATATCTCCAACTTTGTTCTTCTTTCTCAGGATATCTGTGGCTATTCGGGGTCTTTTTTTATTCCAGATGAATTTTTGGAGAGTTTGTTCTATATCTTTGAAATATGCCATTGGTATTTTAATAGGTATTGCATTGAATCTATAGACTGCTTTAGGTAGTATGGACATTTTAATGATGTTGATTCCACCAATCCATGAACGTGGTATGTTCTTCCATTTGTTTATGTTTTCCTCTATCTCTTTCTTCAGTGTACTGCAGTTTTCTGAGGACAGGTCTTTTACCTCCTTAGTTAATTTTATTACTAGTTGTCTTAATTTTTTTTGTGCAATGGTAAATGGGATTGTTTTTTTCATTTCTCTTTCTGTGATTTCATTATTGGTGTATAGAAAGGCCATAGATTCTGGGTATTAATTTTGTATCCTGCCAAATTCATTTATTAGGTCTAGTAGTGTTTTGATGCAGTCTTCGGGGTTTTCTATGTATAGTATCATGTCATCTGCAAATAAGGATAGTTTTACCTTTTCTTTTCCAATTTGAATGCCTTTTATTTTTTCTCCTTTTTTTATTAATCTTTATTGTTCAGATTATTACAGTAGTTCCTCTTTTTTCCCACCATAGCTCCCCTCCACCTGGATCTCACCCCACCCTCTGCCCTTACTGCCCCTACTGTCCTCATCCATAGGTGTACAATATTTGTCCAGTCTCTTCCTGCACCCCCCACCCCCTTTCCCCCACGAGAATTGTCAGTCCACTGTCTTTCTATGCCTCTGATTCTATTATATTCACCAGTTTATTCTGTTCATCAGATTTTTTATTCACTTGATTTTTAGATTCACTTGTTGATAGGTATGTATTTGTTGTTCATAATTTTTATCTTTGGCTTTTTCTTCTTCTTCCTCTTTGTAAAGAATACCTTTCAGCATTTCATATAATACTGGTTTGGTGGTGATGAACTCCTTTAGCTTTTTCTTATCTGTGAAGCTCTTTATCTGACCTTCAATTCTGAATGACAGCTTTGCTGGGTAAAGTAATCTTGGATGTAGTAGGTTCTTGCTATTCACCACTTTGAATATTTCTTGTCACTCCCTTCTGGCCTGCATAGTTTCTGTTGAGAAATCAGCTGACAGCCATATGGGTACTCCCTTGTAGGTAACTAACTGTTTTTCTCTTGCTGCTTTTAAGATTCTCTCTTTGTCTTTTGCTCTTGGCATTTTAATTATGATGTGTCTTGGTGTGGCCCTCTTTGGATTCCTTTTGTTTGGGGTTCTCTGTGCATCCTGGACTTATAAGTCTATTCCTTTCACCAGGTAGGGGAAGTTTTCTGTCATTATTTCTTCAAATAGGTTTTCAATATCTTGCTCTCTCTCTTCTTCTGGCACCCCCATAATTCGGATATTGGTACACTTGAAGTTGTCCCAAGAGACTCTTTACACTATCTTGATATTTTGGGATTCTTTTTTCTTTTTTTCTTTTCCGGTTGGGTGTTTTTTACTTCTTCGTATTTCAAATCTTTGATTTGATTCTTGCGATCCTCTAGTCTGCTGTTGGATCTCTGTAAAATATTCTTTATTTCAGTCAGTGTATGCTTAATTTCTAGGTGGTCCTTTTTCATATCCTCAAGGGTCTCACTAGATTTATTGAGAAGCTCACTAAATTTATCGGCAGTTTCTAGAAAATTCTTGGAAAAGCTCATAACCATGGTTTTGAACTCTATATCCAGTAGCTTGCTTTCCTCCATTTCTCTCATTTGTGACCTGTTTCTTTGTCTCCTCATTTTGGCTGCTTCCCTGTGTTGATAGAGTGGCTTTCTGTGCTAGGTGTCCTATAGGGCCCAGTGGCTCAGCCTCCCCAATTACCTGAGATGGACACTCTTGGTGCACCCCTTTGTGGGCTTTGTGCACAGTCTTGTTGTAGTTAAGCCTTGATTGTTGTAGGTATCACTGGGAGGAATTGACCTCCAGGCCAATTGGCTGTGAGAATCAGCTGTGTCTACAGTGGGAGAACTTCTGTGCTGGAGACACCCTTAGGGGCAAGACTTGCATCAGTGGGGCTTTGGTGCTCACTGAGTCTGCCCCCTGAGTGTGTCCCTTATGGATCTGAGGAGTTGTAATCTGGATGGTCCACTCTGACCACTGGGTACACTGGCTCTTGGATCTCTAAGGAGGTGCTAATTTAGCCTACCCAGCAGGAGCTATGAAAGCTATCTGCAGATTTCTCTTCTGTGTTTGGGGTTTAGAGGTGCCCAGATGAGGCCCAGCTGTGAAGCAATGCATGCTGCTGTGGGGCCTTGGGCCTTCTTTGGGATGTTCTGGGTCTCTCTGACCCAGCTGCAGTTAGTTAGGTAATTTTAGATTGCAAAGGACCAGGGCATTCATATGCAAAAGCCTCTGTGCAAAGCTTGGGTGGGGTCGGGTCTCAGGGAATCAATAGGGTGGAGCAAACAGCTATGGCTGATCCTCAGCCCTGCCCTAAGAGGCCCAGGGTCTCAGTGTCCCACGGTAATCGCTGTAAGCACCTCTGAGAGAAAGCCGCCCTCGAGTTCTACTGGATGCCAGACAGTTCAGTTTCTCCCTGTATGAGTCTGAGTCCCCAGAGACTCGCTCGGAACTGGAGTTCACAGCAGTCAGGAGCTTGTGTCTCCCTCCCGATTGGAAAAGACAACCGTGTCCTCAGTTGCCAGCCCTTTCCACATGTGCCTCTGTACCTCTGCACTTTACTTCTGCACCTCCTCTGAGTCTCAGTGTGCTTTTCCCTTTCCTTTTAGTTGTAGACTTTCCACTCAGCCAGCCTTCCTGTGGTTCTGGGTGGTGTCTGTTTTGACTTTTAGTTGTAGTTTTGAAGTGTTTGTGCGAGGCAGCAATTTCAGGTGTTTACCTATGCCACCATCTTGGTTTCTCCCAAAACCTTTTATTTCTTCTTGTCTGATCACTATGGCTAGTACTTTTAGTACTATATCGAACATGAGTGGTGAAAGTGGGCATCCCTGTCTTGTTCCTGTTCTCAGGGGAAATGGGTTTAGTTTTTGCTCATTGAGTATGATGTTAGCTGTAGGTTTGTCATATAGGGCTTTTATTATGTTGAGGTATGATCCCTCTATTCCCACTTTGCTGAGAGTTTTTATCAAGAAAGGGTGTTAAATTTTGTCAAATGCTTTTCCTGCATCAATTGATATGATTATGTGATTTTTGTCTCTCAGTTAGTTTATGTGATGTATCACATTTATTGATTTGCGTATATTGTGCCATCCTTGCATCCCTGGAATAAATCCCACTTGGTCATGGTATATGATCTTTCTAATGTATTGCTGAATTTGATTTGCTAGAATTTTGTTGAAGATTTTAGCACCTATGGTCACCTGTGATTCCCTTTTTTTGTGGTGTCTTTATCTGGTTTTGGGATGAGGGTAATGCTGGCTTCATAGAAAGAGCTTGGAAGTGTGCTTTCCTCTTGAATTTTTTGGAATAGTCTTAGGAGGATGGGTGTCAGTTCTTCTTTGAATGCTTGGTAAACCCCCCTGTAAAGCCGTCCGGACCAGGCTTTTGTTTGCTGAAAGATTTTTGATCGCTGTTTCAATTTCTTCAGTAGTTATCAGCCTATTCAGGTTTTTTTATTCTTCTTGGTTGAGTTTTGGGAGCTTGTATTTTTCTAAGAATATGTACATTTCATCTAGGTTGTCCATTTTGTTGGAATAGAATTGTTCATAGTATTTTTCCATAATCGTTTGTATTTCTGTGGGATCGGTTGTTACTTCACCTCTTTCATTTCTGATTTTGTTTATTTGGGTCCTCTGTGCTTCTTGGTGAGCCTGGCTAGAGGTTCATCAATCTTGTTTATCCTTTTAAAGAACCAGCTCTTGGTTTTGTTGATCTTTTGTATTGTTTTTTTGGTCTCTGTTGTTTATCTCCACTATGATCTTTATTATTTCCTTCCTTCTGTTTATTCTGGGCTTTTCTTGTTGCTCTCTTTCTAACTCTTTGAATTGTATGGTTAATTAATTTATTACCATTGTTTCTTATTTTTTGAGGTAGGCCTGTAGAGCTATGAACATCCCTCTCTGGACTGCTTTCACCGTGTTCCATAGATTTTGGATTGTTGTGTTTTCATTGTCATTTGTTGCCATGATGCTTTTTATTTCTTCTTTGATCTCTTTGGTAACCCAGTCATTGCTTACTAGCGTGCTATTTAGCCTCCAGGTGTTTGATTGTTTTTGTTTTTATTGTAGTTGATTTCTAGTTTTATGCTACCCAATCTTCTAAACTCCATCTTCAAAGTCTTATTCTCAGGACATCCTCTGCCTTACTTCATAGAGAAACATAATGTACTTTAGATTGCAGCTTGATATTTTTTTTGTCACTAAATGTGCCAAATATACCCACCCCATCTTTCCTTTTTTTCTAATACAATTAAAGTATTGCTTCTCCATCTTTCTAAGGTTAATCTCTTGTATGTCTTTATTCTTTGTAAAGAATTACTTTTATTCTATATTACATACTATATTACATACTTCATGTCAACATTTAAATATACTCACATCATTCCCATTTTAAAAACAAAAGAAAAAACAGTCTTTGATTCATTACAACCTGGCATCGCTTCACTCCACATAAACGGCTCTTCCTATGTTTATCAATGAAGTTCTCTTTAAATCTGATATTTTTAAATCTTTATTTTGCTTGACCTCTTAGAATTTGAAATTTCATGCACTGGGCCACTAGTTGAATAATAAATTACCACAAGTGTGGTGACAGAAACTATCACCCATTTATTATCAAACAGTTCTATAGGCTATAATCCCAGGCACAGTGTGGCTAGAAGATTCTTTGCTAAGGGTGTCAAAGGCCAAATTCGGGGTGTTGACTGAGTTCTTATCCAGAGGCTCTTATGAGAAGCTCCTGAATGAATGAAAAATTTTCAGGCCAGCAGGGGGGCAGTTAGGGGCAATCAGGCCTGCAGGCAGGCAGAGGCAGTTAGGAGTGATCAGGCAGGCAGGAAGAGGGGTTAGGGGCAATCAGGCAGGCAGGTAGGTGAGTGGTTAGGAGCCAGTGGTCCAGAATTGCAAGAGGGATGTCCGTCTGCCGGATTAGGCCTGATCCTAAACCAGCAGTTGGACATCTCCCAAGGGGTTCCAGATTGGACAGGGTGCAGGCCAGGCTGAGGGACCATTCCCCCCCACCCCCCATGCATGAATTTCATGCATTAGGCCTCTAGTTTTAATATAAATTCTGTAACATCTTACATTTATTTTTTATAGCTCACAAAGACATTTATGAGAATACTAGAGGCCTGATGCACAAAATTTGTGCAAGAGTAGATCTTCCTTACCCCCCCCACCCCCACCCCCAGCTGACAGCACTGCTTCCCTCTGGCCTCCGGCAGGCACCTGGGACCTGGCCTTCCCTCGCAGCCCTGGCTTCGTCCAGACGGTCGTCCAGAAGGACGCCCGGAAGGACATCAGTCTAATTAGCATATTACACTTTTATTATTATAGATATTGGAAGTTAGGAAAACTTAAGTTGAAAAATTCTCAATTTATTTACTTTTATATTCTTTTTTAAATTTGAAGTAACTTACCCTGGTGCATAGTTACATATGAAAAGTGCTGCATATTTAATACGTCCAACTTCTGAACACGGAGTAACAGCACAACCAACTTTGTAAGACTTGTCCCAAACAAGCTAAAATGAAATTTTCAAGAAAAACATGAAATTTAATTCTAAACAATTATTCTGCCATATTGTAAACAATAATATATTCAATATACATAGAACCTTTAACTAAATAATTTAAAAAATATGAACTATGAATTAGCATGGTTTTAGGGTAGCATTTGCAACACTGTAGTTAGAGAAATACTTTAATAAATTCTACCAGTACATATTCTTAGGATAAAAAGTTTGAGAACCACTGATACAGAATAATACTTTCGAGCCAAAGAAAGGCCCACCAGCTGAATCAATTTTCATCCTCTTATTGAACCTGAGTTCTAGGTTATTGGAAGAGAGGAAGAGGAAAAGAGAGGAGAGATATTTTTGACAGAATAAAAGTTGTAAATAGAAGGGAGAAAAAGAGAGACACTAAGATTAGAGAAAGGTAAAAAAAGCAATAAAAGAATAGAGAGTAATTGAATGCTATTGTCATTTTACTTTTGTTGAAGAAATTCCATTATAAAAAGATTTTGGGCCTTTCACTTTAAAAAATGAATAAAGGATCTTGCTCTTATACAAGGAAAATCTGGTATTAAATTGGAATAAAAATATGAGAATAGTTCAAGATATTCCAGAAATTCTCTGTAATGCTTTAATATTTCTAATACTTTCAAGTGACAAAAAAAGTACTTGTTTTGTTCTGTTAATCTCTGTGGGAGGGAGGGGAACCATTTTTGTTTCTTTTTATCCCAAGCCTTAGTGGTTTTAAAAGCATGGTTACTAAAGAAATAGAGTGATGCATAAAAAGAATAGAGGATGGAGTGACTGCAACAGTTAAATTAGAGTTAGTCAGGTTAAATGCAGGAAACAGAAATGTCTAAGATACTAGAATTAAAAAGTACAAAATATAGAGGAGTAGGTCAGGGAGTAGAATTTATTAGTTTACTGAAAGTATGAAGTTATATTAAGACTAGCTTTGATACAAATAAGATAATGGAGAACCATTATAACTTTCTAGAAGAAGAATAAACAGATCAAACATTTTTTGAAAGATTTATTTGATGAATGAGAAAGACATGAGTTCAACATGAAAAAAATTCCAAGATTTTAAGTTGTACATAAAACATGACATCAGTTTATTGATAGAAAAATAATCATTTTTATTTTATTTATTTTTGTTAATCCTCACCTGAGGATATTTTTCCATTGGTTTTTCAGAGAGAGTAGACAGGAGGGGAAGAGACAGAGAGGGAGAAACATATATGTGAAAGAGACACATCGATTGGTTGCCTACTGGGGCCGGGGATAGAGCCTGCAATCGAGGTATGTGCCCTTGCTTGGAATCAAACTCTCGACCCTTCAGTCCTCGGACTAACATTCTAACCACTGAGAAACCTGGCTAGGGCAAAAAAAAAAAATCATATTTTACATAAGCTTGGAAGTTCATTTAATAAATTATTTATCTCTGATATAAATATTTATTGAAGACCTAAATAATGTCATGTTGTTGTGTTGAGAATAAACAGATGAGAAGATCCCTGCCTTTACTGTAGTATCACATATAAATAATTATTAAACAATGTGATATATGAAATAATAAATATATGTATAGAAAATAAGTAGTTCAGTATTTTGGGGGGATAAAGTGTAAGATAGATTATTAGACATGAGGTAGGAAAATAATACTATTAATTTGCATTTAAAAAGTTTTAACCAATTAGTTATATAGTGGTATGTATACTGATCTGTGCAAAAAATATCATCTTACACTTATGTTTATAGTCAATAATTTAGAAATAATTTTTATTTTATGGTTTCTTACTTCCTTGTCCAGTGTACATTATTTTTAGAAAAGTACCTTTCATATTTGGGTATGGAGGTTAAATTTCCTATATTTAAAATAATGTTTTAATTGTATGGTTCAAATAATAGAGAGAATTACAGACATTTTGAAGATCTAGGACTGATAAGAACTTTGATTCTATTAGACTTAATAATTTACCATTTGTATTTACTTATAAAATTTAAACAATCAATAAAAACTTGATAATAACGCTATTAAGGAATCTATTGAATTAATAATATAAAAATTAGATACCTGCATATATTTAGAACAGTCACCAGAGCAAGTGCCATTTCCAAAATGGTACCTTTCCTTCTCTGCATACCAACTTCTGATAGCAATACTTGCAGTAAATTCATTTTCAGGGCCGACCCACATATTTTCACCAATACCATTAAATTTAGGATGGGCCATTTTTATTTCTTCTAAATGAATATTACGCTCAAACACACATTTTTTCCCCCATGCTCTAGCAGTCCGTGACAAAGCTACATCCCAAGTCTGAAAAAAAATGCAAAAAGCAAAGAAAACAAAATAATTGATGAGTTTGAGTTCTCATAGTAAGATTTAAGGAAAACATTCATAACTTTATGCTTAAGGATTTATTTGTGGAATTTCTATAGGGAACTTTTCTTAGATAACATAAATGAAACAACTATTTTCTGGTACAAAGGACTATGCATATATTAGTAATTAAAAAGTCAGATTGTTAGATGATGCAAATGATTATGATACTCTTACACAGAGTCTGTTCAGAAGTGTATAATACTCATGTAGTCTCTTGAGAACATATATTTATATTTTTTCAGAATATATATTTTTATCTCATACCTTTTATTCATAGTAATACAATAATCTATATATATAAAAGTCCAAGTGACCATTACGACCGGACAACAGTCAGGTAGTCATGATGCACACTGACCACCAGGGAGCAGACACTCAACGCAGGAGCTGCCCCCTGGTGGTCAGTGCGCTCCCACAGCAAACCTCCTATGGCTAGCCAACTCCCTTGGTTCCTCCCCCTGGCCTGCCAGCCCGATGGGTCCCAATCGGGACTGGGCAAGACAGCCCTGATTGGCCCCAATTGCCAGCCAGGCTGAGGGACCCCACCTGTGCATGAATTCATGCACCAGGCCTCTAGTATAAAATATTCATTTAAGAACTATTTATTGAGCACTAATTTTATGCAAAATATTGTGTTTTGAGGAAATAAAGTCTTACGATATTTCCAAAAATATGAGAAAATTTCACAAGATGCTACTCCCTGGCCAGCTATCTAGAAATATCCAAAAATGTGTACTTTTGTTATTATTTAGAGCCTCATTAAGTTCATTGTTAAGGATAAGAACAAACACAATACATAAAGAAAAATCAACAAAATAGTTGTCAAACCAAAATGCTAAGTACATATGTCTCAGTGTATCTGAAAGTAAGCATTTCTGAAAACTAAGATTTTTTTTAAGGTTTTCTCAGTTAATTTCATAGATTATACATATATATAATATAAAATATATCATAAAAATAAACAAATCAGGCTTTTAGATTACCCCCCAACTACTTCCCTCCCCAAAGCTCATTATTGTTTAAAAAATTGCTTTGTATACATTTCTCTACACACACACACACACACACACACACACACACACACACACACATTCATATATAAGATACAAGTGGTATTTTAAATGCATATTTTGTGATTTTTTCCCTTGCACTGTTGTAATAATTCCATACATAATATTATTGGCCTGTGATTTGTAGTTGTCACTTAGAGAGATTGTTCCATATTAACTCAAGTAGATCTACCTAACTTTTGCAATCTCTCCATAGTATTCTATATACTATCGTATTCTATAGCACATAATAAATGTTACCATGCCGGGAGCCGGTCCATCCTTGCTGCTTGACACAGTCGCTGCAGGGAAGAAACATCTGCACAGCATATGTTTCAAGGGACCTGGCGTATATAGCATACTGTTCTTAATATGTTTACTCCCCTTAGCGCTATGTGTTTTAACCAAGGTCACCTCTCCGAAAAAGGTTGTTTCCCTGAAGTTAGGGAGGGAATAAAATCCCTTAACTAAGTGCCAGGCGGGTAGTTAATCACTTTAACTAAGAACAATCACGCTTAAGCTACATAATCTTTACTCCCTGGAATGGAGATAAGAAACACCCTAACCTTTGGAATAGAAATTGACAGGATTAAAATCAACTGGTATAAATACAGATGTAACAAGACAACAGAAGACAGAACCTAGGGACAGAACCTAGGGACAGAACCTAGGGACAGAACCTAGAGACAGAACCTAGCAAGAGAACATGGCAAAAGATCCTGGACAGAACCTGGCTACAGATCTTGGCTGGAGAACCTAGACAGAACATGGCGACCGAACCTGGCTGGAGATCCTGACCAGAACTTGGCTGGATCCTAACCAGAACTTCGCTGGAGACCAGAACTTCGCTGGAGATCCTGACCAGAACTCGGCTGGAGTTCCTGGCTAGAGATCCTGGCTAGGCTGCTGATCAACTGAACGCTGTCTCCGTGTCATTCCTTCATCGCCGACTCCGTCCACACCTTTGGGGACCCCTGGACCTGCTGGGGTTGGACCCCAGCATTACCATTCCACTATTAATAATCTTTTAGATTGTTTCTCATTTGAAAACAATGTTTCATGGATCATCTTTTTACTGCCTTATTTTGTATATTGTTCATACATCACATTTTTACTATGTACCACGCATTAGTGTTTGTTTTTAAAAGTATTTTTTATTGATTTCAAAGAGGAAGGGAAAGGGAGAGAAACATCAATGATGAGAGAGAATCATTGATCAGCTGCCTTCTGCACACCCCCTACTGGGGATTGAGCCCACAACCTGGGCATGTGCCCTTGACCAGAATTAAACCTGGGACCCTTCAGTCCACAGGCAGATGCTTTATCCATTGAGCCCAACCAGCTAGGGTGTCACTATTGTTTTTTATGCACTATTTAACTTAGTGTTCAGAATATGCTATGAGGTATGTATTATTATTATTTTTTGTTTCACAAAGGAAGTAACCAAAACACAGACAAGTATTTTACCTGTAGTCACATAAAACCAATAAATTATGTAGTCTGAATTTAACCCAGAAAGTCTAACTTTCTACTCCAAGTTTGGAAATATTTTACTTTATTCCTTCCCATGACAGTGTGTAAAATAAGTTATGATATTTACAAATTCCTTTGCTCAACCTTGAATAAAATTAGTTGAAAACAGTATCAATGTTTTTTCAATTATATAATACAGTGTTATCAACTATAGTCACTACCTTTTTACCAACCTCTTCCTATTTTCCCACCCCCAGCCCGTGGAAACTACTTTCTGTTCTCCGAGTCACTTTTTTTTTTTTTTTAAGATTCCACATATAAGTGATACCAATGCACTTCTTGTCTTTGTCGGGCTTATTTCACTTAGCATAATGACCTCAGGGTACATCCAAGTTGTTGTAAATGGCAGGATTTCCTTCTTTATCATGGATGACTAATATTCTATTGTATATATACACAACACCTTCTTTATCCATTCATCCAATGATGGACACTTAGATTGTTTCCCTATCTTGACTATTGTAAATAATACTTAAATGAACATGGCATTACAGTATTCTCTTTGAAATCCTGTTTTCATTTCCTTTGTATATATACCCAGAAGTGGAATTGCTGGATCATATGGCAGCTCTATTTTTAATTATTGAGGAACTGCCATACTGTTATGGCTTTGCTTCAATTATACTTCTGTCACTCATCTGAATTCTTTCTCTCAAGCTGACTGGAGCTGAGCCCTCTCTGACTCAGCCAGATCTCCAGTAACAAAAGGGGAAAAGCTTCATTATATATGGCAATGATTGCTTGGCTATGTCCTGAAAAGCACAGGCAACAAGATACAAAATAGATAAATTAGACTTTATCAGATTTATAAACTTTTGTGAATCAAAGGATACTACCAACACAATGAAAAGGAAACCTATGCAATGAGAGAAAACATTTACAAATCATATATTTGATAAGGGGTTACTATCAAATATAGTAATTTCCTATTTATTTATCTTGTTTTATTTTTAAACAAGAATATATAAAGAATTTCCTCAACTCAACTAACAACAACAAGCCTGATCAAAAATTGAACAAAGGACTTGAATGGACATTTCTCCAAAGAAGACATACAAATGTCTAATAAGTTCAACATAACTATACATTAGGGAAATACAAATCAAAACCATAATGACGCCTATTAAAATGGATATCTATATTAATAAAAGGTAATATGCTAATTAGACCAGACATATTCCAGACATCCTTCTGGACGTCCTTCCAGACAAAGCCACAGTGGCAGGAGCCGAGGCAGAGGTGGTTAGGGGCAACCAGGCCAGCAGGGGAGGGCAGTTAGGGGTGACCAGGCAGCAGGTAGAGTGGTTAAGGGCGATCAGGTAGGCAGGCAGGTGAGCAGTTAGGAGCCAGCGGTCCCGGATTGTGGAATCAGGCCTAAACTGGCCATTGGACATCCCCTGAGAGGTCCTGGAATGGAGAGGATGCAGGCCGGGCTGAGGGACCCCTCACCCCATGCATGAATTTCATGCACTGGGCCTCTAGTACATATATATAACCCAGAAACTAACAAGTGTTGGCAAGAATGTGGAGAAATTACAACCCTCGTGTATTGTTGGTGGGAATGTGAAATGGTACAGCCACTATGGGAAACAGAATGGCAGTTCTTCAAAAAAAATTAAACATAGAGTCCTGGTTGGTGTGGCTCATTTGGTTAAGTGTCATCCCATGCACTGAGAGGTGGCCAGTTCAATTCCTAATTGGGACACATGCTTAGGTTTGGGGCTCAATCCCCAGTAGGGGGTGTTTTTGAGACAGCTGATGCATGTTTCTCTCTCCCTCTCCCTTTCTCTCTCTCTCAAATCAATAAAAACATATTTTAAAAAGATACACAGAATTTCCATATGTTCCAGCAATCCCAGTTCTGGGTATTGCCAATAGAGGTGAAAGCAGGGAATTGAACACATATTTGTACACACACCCATTTTCATAGCATTATTCACAATAGCCACTGGTGAAAGCAACCGGAATGTACATTGACAGATGAATGGATAAACAAACTGTGATATAAATATACAAAGTAAAATATTTAGCCTTAAAAAGATGGAAATTCTGACACATGCTACAACATGAATGAACCTTGAAAATATGTTAAATAAAATAAGCCAGTCACAATGAGAAATACTGTATGATTTCTATATGAAGTATTTTGCATAGTCAAATTCATAGAGACAGAAAGCAGAATAGTTGTAGCCAGAAACTTGGAGAAGCAGGAAATGGCTTAATGGGTACAGAGTTTCAATTGGGGAAGATGAATGCTAGTGATGGTTGCACAACAATGTGAATGAACTTAATGCCACAGAACTGTACAATAAAAGATGGTTAAAATGTTAAATTTTATGTCATGAGTATTTT